CTCATGTAAATAACACATCCACATAATTAACATGCATACACATATAACAGTTGGAAATGAGGAAACTATGTTGAAAATAAAACAACAAAAACTTCTGGTATAGTCATCATTCACACAGCACGCATGTCTCAAGACATTTCCAAAACTGAATTTTGGCCTCATTCGCCCTCAGTCAATGGTCTGAAATGTTATTTGTATAATAATGGTATGGTATAAGCCGTGTCAAGAAGCCATGCATCAAGTTTGATAGTACTTCGGTAATCAGGAAATAAACTACTGAAACTGTGCATTTGCTCTGGGGCTGTTTGCAGCTGGGCCTAACCGGTGCAGTTCCTTTAGCTGATCTGTACCCATGGACATTTTTTCTGGAAACAAGTAGAGGATTCCTCAGAGGACCGCATGTGGGTCTGCCACAGTCTGAGCACAGGCTGCTCCTGCGGTGGGTGGGGCAGTTTCCCAAGGTGCCAGCTCCACATGAAGCTGGTCTGCAGGACAATGTGGGAGCAGGTGTAGGCATGAAATCAGAGCACCAGAAAAGCTTTAACTTGTTGTTGTTAAGTGCCATCAAGTTGGTTCTGACCCATAGCCATCCTATATAGGATTTCCAAAGAGCAGCTGGTGAGCTTGAAAAGCCAACTTCACATCCAATCTGACTTTGCAGTTCAGTGCATTAACCACAGCGCCACACCAGGACTCCAGCATTAGCTTAGACAAAGTAAAATGAGACCCAGACAGCTATAATGGCTACAAGTTAAAAAGTAGCTTCTTCCTTAACTACCTATCATAGTCAACTACCGTAGTTGTTAAATACTTGCTTAGTTGGCTTCTCTTCATAGCAACCCTTTATAGGGATTCCAAGGAACAGCTGGTGGGTTTGAACCTTTGACCTTACAGTTAATAGCCCAATATTTATCCACACCAGGCCTCCTCCCCATAATTAATCTCTTTTATACAGAGATTAATCACTTTTTATTATAATTGATAGCTAACCCTGACTCCAAGGGCTATCCCAGGAAGGAAGAAAAACAGCTACATTTTCCTTGTGAAGGTAGGTCAGTGATAACCACCACTGGAAGAAAGTTAATGGTCCTGTGACAGACAACAAGTCTGGAAGCACAACTAGAGATAAACAAAGCAACAAAGAAGTTTTGGAAATTCCTTGGGTTCCTGTATCCTCTTTTCCCTCTGGGAGGCAGATCTCAGAGATTCCAGCTCCCCTGTCCTCCCCTGTACGGAAACACAATGAGCGTTTTGCTCTATGCCCTGAGCGCTATCTCTGAGTATTGGCTATGTTCACAGAAGATGATTAAGAACCTTTTTCCAATTACAAGCACCGACTGTCCTGGCCCCATGGAGATATAGGTGGTGAGTCAGATCCAAGAAAGGGATGTGTGGCTTTTGCGTGATGCCTACAGCTCACACACTGCCCTGCTTCGCCTTTGCTAGTGGGAGATTCTCTGGTCCAGGTGTGCAGACTCTCCGCTGGGAGGGAACGTCTGACAAGGGCAATTTCCAGGGCGGGAAAAGTGATTTCTTCCTGCACTGGAGAAACTGGTTTGGAGAGCAGAAAAGGAATCCTGCTGGGAGAGGGACCAATTTAGAAACCTGAAGGTAGGCTGGTTCAGGGCTGCTGCTGAGAACCAAGGCTCTATGTCCACAGGCACCAAGATGAAGACATAACATTAAACGAGTTGAGCAGGAAAAAATTGAAAATAAAGTCAGCCACATGTAAAAATATTGGTATCGTGCAATTCTGAAAATGACGTACGGGATGAGTTGGGGGGTTTGTTCGGTATGTAAAAAAAAATGTATAAAGTATGTATTATTTGAAGAAAATAGAGTATTTCAATCTAATGATAAAAACTTGAGTAATTATACCTATCATATTTCAAAACTTTGAATGACACCCTCTAGAATCTAAAGTCTAGACATTATTAAATGCTAGAAGGAAATACAAATATCTGCAATTTACTTGCTTATTTATGCTTAAAATTCTGAAGCCAGCAAGAGAATGCACCAAATCAGTCAAGTTCATTTTTATTCCTTGCAGGTTCATATCCAACTGCCTTAAACTAATCTCACACTAGTCTTGAGCGTCTTCATCTCAGTAAAGAATGCATTGTCCTCTGGGGTATAATTTATATATTTGTGCAGGCTTTTCCTTCCATCTCTGACAATTACGTTAGCTTGTTTCAAATAATTCTTCCTGAGATTCGCTTCTAAAATTCTTCCATCTAGGTCCAACTCACAAGTGCACACCCACACCTGGAACTGCAGAAGTCAAGTTCAACATGAGCTCAGGGCAGAGCCAACCTGATTTGGAGGCTAGTCCAGTACCAGCATCCTTAGAGAACAAGAGATTTCCTGATCCCCAAGAAAATCAGCAGAGCCCAAGGACTGAAGCATTCAGGATTTATTTTTTCTTCATAACCAAAAACTGAGCTACCAGCTTTATATGGGATCAAGGAGGAACTATTTTACTTCTAAAAACAGAAATATGAATGCTGGTTTCCTGGTGTGGCACCATAAGATAAAACTGGATCTCAATGTTGGTATGAACTGCAAGGTTGGCGGTTCAAACTCAACAGCCACTCCTCAGAAGTCCTATATAGATTCACTCTGAGTCTGAACCAGTTTGCCGAGACTGACAACAACATTGTAATACTGCTTTTGAACCAGAATGAGCAGTTCAATTTTGAGGAGAGAGAACTATGCAAATGTGTCTTTTTGAGGCAACTGTAAGTTAGAACAAAGGAGCTCTGGTAGCGTAGTGGTTATGAATCGGGCTGCTAACCTCTGGGTCAGCAGTTCAAAACTACCAGCTGTTCTGTGGAAGAAAGATGAGGCTTTCTGCTCCCATAAAGATTTACAGACTCGGAAACCCCGTACAGGGTTGCTATGAGTCAGAACTGACTCCACAGCACATAACAACAACAACAACAGGGAGAACAAGGAGCTCTGGTAGCATAGTGGTTATGAATCGGGCTGCTAATCTCATGGTCAGCAGTTTGAAACTACCAGCAGTTCTGCAGGAAAAAGATGAGGCTTTCTTCTTGGAAACCCTATATATACAGGGTCGCTATGTGTCAGAACTGATTCAGTGAGGACTCAGATAAGGAACGGTGGAGATAATGAAGCGGCTACCTGCTCTTGGACCAGTGCTACAAATGAAGTACTTTCCTGCCTTTTCCAACAGACCAGATGGTGACCTTGGCTTGCATTTGAACCAGCAAGCCAAGGTCACCATCTGGTCTGTTGGAAAAGGTAGTTTTCAATGGAAGACCTCTGAGGCTCCTCCTTGCTTCTCCATGTCAGGGTGTTGGTATCTGAGCAGCAGGGTGAGGCTTATAGTGGCTGGCTTTCCTGGGTTTCCATCTCTCTCTGCTCAGTTGGACGTCACTTGGAAGCCTCACCCTAACTCTGACAGCAGGTCTTCAAGCACAACCTCACTGCAGGGACCAGGCTGTCTATCATTTGAAAGCGCTGGTTCTGATCCCATCAGAACAGCTGGCATGTCTGCTTCTCGTGCCTAAAACTAAACTCTCCCTACAGTGGAAATGTGATCTCTAGCCCAAGCCGAATTCCCCTTCCACTAATGCCCAGAAATGGCTGCCCTATCTTCCTGTTTCTGGGTACCCAAGTTTTACATGGGAGACTTCCTGTTTACATATTGATTCTCCCTCTTCCACCACCCCCATCCCTCCAACTCTAATAATTTTCTCAGGAAATCAAGATGTTATTGAGCAACTGGTAGGTACAAAGCTAACAATTATATTAAAGGCCAGATGCTCATCTCAAGGATACCTGGTAACTACAGTGAGTTTTGCTAAACCCCCAGCTTAAAGGGCAGAGCTCTGTAGTTCCCTCTAGACTGGACCCATCTTTTTCAGACTTCTGATAGTGCATTTGTCCCTTACTCATACCCTGCATTCCTAGTGACACTCTGTATTTACTTTGTACTTGCAGCATGTTGCTATCTCTTACTGACTGTGAAGTCCAGTTAGAAAGTCTGAACTAGAACTTTTCACTTTTGTGATATTTGTCACCGAGGCCTTAAAACCAGTTGCCATTGAATTAACCTTGACTCATGTCGACCTCCTGTGTGTCAGAGTAAAACTGTGCTCCACAGGGTTTTCATTATCTGGATTTTCGGAAGTTGATAGCCAGGCCTTTCTTCCAAGGTGTCTCTGCATGGACTCAAGCCCGCAACCTTCCAGTTAGTAACCAAGTGTGTTAATCATTTGCCCCACCCAGGGAGAGGAAAACCTCTGAGCCAAACTCCCAGGCATGGAGAAACCAGTAGTGCCTTGACTCAGATACAGCTCCCTTGTGCTGACCGGCCAGGAGCCCGGGAGACCGCCCCAAGAAATCTCCAAACACACACACCTCTGAATGAAGAGCAAAGATGGCATCTGCAAACTCATCATTCCCACACTGATAATGGAATTCAGGTTACTATGGTGATTACAGGAAGGGCTAAATTATTAGGGAACTGGGAGTTTGATTCTGGGAAAAATCTGTGATTAAGATACTGCATCCAGACTCCCATGGTGCTAGTAAAGCTTTCTAAGCATGTGTGAGCCAAGTGGTCTCTGTGGTCACTGTAGGCTTCCTAGACTATCCATGGCGCTACCAGTCACCGCCAGCTACACGAGGACTGCAGCTACCAAGACAAGTAAACCATTTCAAACCTGCAAGGCAGCCTCCATTGGGTCACTGGCCACCTCATTAGCTGTTAGCATGCTACGTCATACCACAGGCATGTCCTACTCCTGGGATGCAAAGGTTTCTGAGCTTTACCACCAACCACCTTATACTTCCCCTACCAGGATGACAGTGATCCTGAGGCAAGCTTGGAAATAAAACGTTCTGCTTCCTAAACAGCTACAATTAAATCCTGTGATTGTCTTATTATATCTGGAAAACCTGATAGCCAGGAACATCCTGCCAGCAATATCGTTCAACCTCAACAGCAGGCATGGTGATTCCCTAACCCTTACCGTACACATAGGAGATCCCCACGAGCTCAAAAATCGCGATGATAACGAGGGCGTAGGAGGCAGCATACGTGTCCACAAGCTGAAACATGTAGATTCCACCCTAATGGGAAAGAGAAACAATCAACACTCAAATGGGCTGGAGCTGGGCCCGCTCTCGCCACTGGTAACAGCTAGCCCTTTCCCCTGAAGAGAAAGCAGGAGTTAAAGGTTCTCTTCTGTCCCCGAGAGCAGTTACTTCACCCAGGGCCCGTCAGTAAACTGGAAGCCATGGCATGTGGACAAAGCAGTCCCTGGAAAGACTTTGAGCTAATCAGGAGAACAAACGCAGAAAAGATCTAACATCTTAGTCACAAGAGGCAAAGGTCAACACCTGAAGTTGTATATGTAAAAGCAGATGAAATGATTGCTTCATTCTTTCCTTTAAGTTATAGATGATCACTTCCATCTGTAAATCTGCACTTGATTGACCTTTTAAAGTCTCTGGGCAGTCCTATCACATACATATATGATCTATATACAAACACAAACATATATGTATATATATATATATATACAAACACAAATATATATGTATATATATATATATATACAAACACAAATATATATGTGTATATATATATATATATATATATATATATACACACACACACACACACATAGGTCCTGGTGTAGCACTGTAGGATAAGCACCGGCCAGCACTTGACTGCTACCTTCAAGGTCAGTGGTTCAAATCCACCAGTGGCTCTTCAGAAACCCTATACAGGGTCTCTGTGAGTCAGAAACAACTTGATGGCACTAAACAATAATAACATATACACACACAGACACTCAGGACTGAGTGTAAGGAAATCAGGTTGAATGTAATCCCTTGTATTTGGACAACTAACCACCTAGAAATGATCAGGTTGGTAAATCTGGCTTTTCACGTGTTCCATCACATTACAGTAGGACACACCTGCCTCACTGGCTCAGGAAGTCTAAAGCTCAATTATAAAGATGCTAGGGACATTGCTAGCAGCCAAGATAGCCTAGCCTCCTCTGCAGTCAGCATCCCTGGTGACCTAGTGCCAGCTACATGGAAATGGCAGTGATTTGACAATGGTTATGAGGTCTGTATAGGACTCCTAGTGTGGCACTGTAGGATAAGCACTGGACCTCAAGGTTGGTTTGAACTGCAAGGTCAGCGGCTCAAACTCACCAAGCTGTTCCTTGGAAATCCTATACAGGGTCTCTATGAGTGGGAACCAACTCAATGGCACTTAACAGCAACATGAGGTCTATATAGAGTCACAGTGAATCAGAATGGACTCAATGGTAGTGGGGTATGAGGTCTGACAGACACTAGCCCACCCATTCAGCCTCCCTAAAGGCCATGCCCAGGGGGCAGCTTTACCTGAGTGATCATTGGAAAGCCCATGATGAAGAAACAAATGCAGCAGCCCAGAGTGAAGACCGGCTTGTGCGTGCGCAGATACTTGGGGAACTCATCCGAAATAGAGGTCACAATGGTCTCGATGGTGGCAAACTGGAACAGTGGCAAGAAAGGAACTCTGAGGCCAATCACCCAACCCACAAGTGTCCCAAAGGCCTGTGCTCTTCCTTCCCACCAGGAATAGCTGTGTATGTATGAAATATGGTTTTAAGGGTCAAAACCTCTTGATGGGCTTAGAGGGCCTTTTGGAGTGCCATCCCCATTCAGCCAGAAGAGAAAACGAGATGCACGTTGTAGAAACTGTACTCCTCAGACCCCAGAGACAGCGCTCTTATTTATCCGCCAGGACTCTTTAAGCTTCACTAAGTATTCATGAGATGTAAATTCCTCCCCCCCCCACCCCCCCCCACCCGCACCTGTCATTCCATCTTCTACTTGAGGAAAGTCCTCATTGCACCCACCTACTAAAATTGGAGAGTCTGTCAGCCTGATTCACTCATCTCAGCCCCAAAGCAATTTCCCTCAAATTGACTTCATATTATCCTCTCTTATCCAGCCCCACAGAATTTCCTTTGGCAAAATGATACCAAGGTAGGAAGTAGTACTCAGGTTAAAACTTGGCAGAGAGCAAGAAGAGAGGGAGACAGGGGGTTCCTGGGCACTATCACATGAGTCACACAAGAAGGACAGCTGCTCCTTTGGGAAAGTGGGGCTCCTGGGCTATCCTGAGACCTGGACAAGTACCCCACCATCCTTCCATCCCTCAGGGAAAATGTCCCACCCCTCTGCCCCAGGCTGGGTACAGGACCCAGGAGAGGAGCTTTCCAGATGGAACCCAGGTCAGGGATCAGTGGAGGAAGGGGCTTACCATAGTGTCAAGTCCAAGGGTGAGGAGCATCAGGAAGAAGATGATGGCCCAGAATGGAGAGAGGGGCAGCCTGGTTAAGGCTTCTGGGTAAACCACAAATGCAATGCCTGGCCCTGGAAGGAACAAGGCAGAGATGAGTGAAGACCAAGGGCCCCTCTTCCAGGAAGTCCTCAGAGCCCTCTCCACTGAGCTCCTGAGTTATCATTTATCATAAACTGCTTTCCACTGTTCGCAATACTTCTACTCATCTCTGTCCATCTCCCAAGTGAGGGGAAGTCAGAGAACAAGGTTATAAACCACACTAAAGCAGAGACACTCAGGGTCAACTCTACCTGACTCCCATGCTAAGCTGTGACCCATGCGAATAGAATGAGAAAGCCCATTTTTGTACTTGCCTTCCAGAGCAGTGGCCTTCAAGCAAAGCTGCCTATGCCCATCAGAACGCTTTGGGGCAATATTTAGAGAACGTTTTGATTCTCACAAATGGGGTGGGGTCACTACTGCCATCTAGTGGATAGAGGCCAGAGCTGCTACTAAATATCCTGCAGCCCAATCTCCCACAGCAAAGAATTATCTGAGGCAAACATCAATAGCGCTGATGATATTAAACATTAAAGCAGGTGCAGATGATGTATGTTTTTCCATTATATTCTCAGTAACAAATATTAAAATTTTAAGAAACAAACCAAAAGAGGTGCAGAATGGCATTATTTCCATTTCCCCTTTTAACTGCCCTTCCTCCTCTTTAAGGAGCCCGGTAGCATAGTGGGCTATGTGTAGGGCTGCTAACCACAAGGTCAGCATTTCAAATCCATTGGCCACTTCATGGGAGAAAGATGGAACCCACTTAAGTAAGTATTTACAGCCTTAGAAATTCCATATGGGATCGCTGAGTTGGAACCGACTCAAAGGTACACAATCACCTCCTCTTTACTCTCTTCCAGGAGAAGCCATCTATAAAACACGTTTCTATCTAAACAAACAAAACAAAAAAGAACCAGTTGCCATTGTTGTTGTTAGGTGCCGTCGAGTCATTTCCAACTCATAAAGACCCTGTATAGGATTTCTGAGGTGGGTTTGAACTACCAACCTTGTGGTTAGCTGCTCAGTGCTGATCCTACAGTGTCACACCATGGTGACCCCATGTGTGTCACTACATTGTTTGATTTTTCAGACCAAGATCACTAGGAAACACAGGTGAAGCACATCATCAACACTCACAAAATATTAGGTTTTACCATGAGTGGATACTGAGCTCTGAAATCAGGGTTTCTGGATATGGTTTTTCCAGAATACTACATGTGGTCTTTGTTGGGGGATGTGGGAGCTACAGTTTTCCCTGCTATCCTAAATATCTTTCAGAGGCTCTGACCTGCCGGGTGACCTCATTGGGAAGATTAATTTAAACAAAGGTGGTTAGAAGCTCAGCTGTTGTGAATTTTCTGGCAGGTGCTAAAGGAAACGACATAATAATGGGTAGAGAAGAGTGAACGAATGTAGTGCCGCCTAGATAATCCACAGCCAGTGCACGTCTGGAAACCAGACACTGCAGCAATTGGGGTTTTTATAACTCAAACATACTCATACTTTTTAAAACTGGAATTTATCAGGTTGTTAGTTCCTAATGTTATCAAGGGCCTCAGGGTATTTTAAAAATAAAACCTAGTATGCCTAAGATACCAGAGCCTTATACATTTATTGAACAGACCATACAGCCAGCTGCCGAAGGCTCCCTATGTGAACTATAAAAGAAACGTCTGTATTAAACTACAGTTCAAAATAGGTCTCGAACACAGACAATGAGGAAGCCAGTTCAGGGCTCTGGTGACAGTTGGAGCCATAAAGCTGACAAGAAGGTCTTAAATGGCCACTACCAATGGCTTCTGCTGCTTGCTATAATAGGATTCTACCCTTTGGGCTTTACTGTTTTTTTTTTAAGGAGGGGGAATGATTTCAAAATATTAGGACTGGTTCAATTTCAGCTGCCTCCCAGGTGAAAGCATAATTTTCAAGGTACATTACAGCAAACCCCATTTATCCAAGGTGGCTGGGGAGTCAAGTCTTCTGTTGAGTAATATTGTTGGATTTTAAAAATACATTTTTATATAGTTCTGTAGAGTTCAATTTCTCTCTCTCTCTCTCTCTCTTTTTCCCCTCGAAAGACGACTTGGCTGGGCCAGAGCACGCTTTTCCCCAGAAGAGTGGATTTTTATTGACCTGTGTGATAAAGACTGGGTGTTCTCTCTCTCCTTTCCCATGAGGACGCAGTACATCTAATGGCTGGGACTCAGGTTCAGGAACCATGGGTTGCAACACTTGGCTCTCACTTATACGAGCTGTACAGCCTTAGGCAAATCACTTGTTCCCTTTGGACCCTACCCATAAAATGGAGATAATAATAGTCTCTCCCACAAGGTCAGTGGTTCAAACTCACCAGCTGCTCCTCAAAAACCCTTTACAGGGTTGCTATGAGTTGGAACTGACTCAACAGCACTTAACAACAGCAATAACCTTGGTAGGGGAGTCCTGGTGTGGTGCTGTAGAATCAGCACTGGACTGCTAACCAAAAGGTGTTAGCATTTCAAATCCACCTACTGCTCCTCAGAAACACCATTTAGGGTTGCTACAAATTGGAACTGACTCCATAGCACTTAACACCACCATCCTGATAGGGTTGCTGTGAAATTAAATGCACAGAGACAACCAAAGGCTTAGCAAAATGGTGGTGGTGTGCCATTGAGTCAAACCCAACTCAGCAACCCTGCATAGGATTCCAAGGCTATCCATCTTTATGGGAGCAGAAAATCTCCTCTTTCTCCCATGACGTGCCTGCTGTACTCAAACTTCTGACCTTGAGCTTAGCAGTCCAACACATAACCCACTATATTACCAAGGCTCTTAACCTGGACATAGTAAGAACTCAATAAGCATGCTCTTGTTGGTTGCATTGAGTCAGCTGTGTAAATTGTCCAGTATAGTGCTGGAAGATGAGGCCCCTAAGTATGTAACCAAATGAAATACTGCCCAGTCCTCCATCACCTTCATGACCATCAGTACGTGTAAGTCTACCATTGTGGCTATAGCAGTCTCTTCCAACTGGGGGCGGGGGGTCTCATGTGATCCATAAGGTTTTCACTGGCTGATTTTAGGAAGGAGATTGACAGACCTTTCTTCCTAGTCTGTCTTAACTGGAAACACCACTGAAACCTGTCCACCATGAATATTTGAAATACTAGTGGCATAGCTTCTAGCGTCATAGCAACATGTAAGCCACCATAGTACAACAAGCTGACAGATGGTGGTCAGTAACATAGACCATTATTAGTCTTCCCATAATAGGGGGTCAAGGGGGCTGTGGATGTCCGAAACTTGTCCTATTGTTAGTTGAGTCGATTCTGAGTCATAGCGACCCCATGTGGCCCATAGAGTTTCCTAGGCTATAATCTTCACTGGACCAGATCACCAGATCTTTTCTTCCATAGAGCAGTTGATGGGCTCAAACTGAACACCTTTTGGTTTGCCATCAGGATTCCTTTGCTTTATCTAAGAGAGCCACAAAGACTCAACAAGTAGCCATGGTCAGCATCACGGCCCACAGCACACTGAATGTTACAAGTGAAATTCTAGGTCCTCTGAGGATAGACCTCCTGAGCTTTTGTGCCTTCAGGCAGAAGGGTTAGGATCATCAGGACAGATGATGGGATGAAAGGGAGGAGGGGGGATCAGCCCTGATGGTGAGTGTTCATCTTGATTTGGAGGATCTCTGAACTTCCCAGAGTAAGAGAATCAGATTAAGTGAGAGTCATTGTTTCTATCTGGGAACTCTCAAAAGAAAACTTACCCATCTGTGTTCATCTACTCTGGTCTTTCCACTGTGAAGTTTCTTCCTGCAGCCTTGTGGGGTGGCAGGTTGGACCCTAACATGTCACTGCACGACAGGCAGTGACACAGGTGGCCAAGAGATGCCTCTCAAAGAACAACACCCTTGGAAGCTGCTTCCTGGAACAGACCCCTGAGGAAATGCGCACCCTTCCCACATCTATTGTAAAAGCAGAAGACAACTGGGTCTCAACACCAACCCCACCCTCAGCCCTTCCCACCATCAAATTCAGATGACAGAGATTTGGAGAGAGAATCTGAGCAGCAACGCCTCCTTTAGAAAGATGCAGCAAACTGAAAAGAAGAAGATTAAGTCACTAAAGCTGTTTTTGACTAGAGACTAGTCCTTCCTTATTAATGTTGGGTCAGCAATAAACGTATGGATGTCTGTATGCCACTGCTGCTCGGTGGGGAAGGAAGGGGCATCTCATGAGAATCTCTGTCCTGTATTCCACGGAGCCTTAGTGATGAGACAAGTCAAAATCACTTATAAGATGATGTGAGATTTCAGGTAAGGAGGGATTGCTTCCCTTCTCCTGTGGAGAATGAGGCTGACAGCGCTTGTGTGGAAGACAGTCAGAATCTACAAGTATCAACTATTAACACAACAGGCTCAAGCCTGCTAGAAGTGCTCCTTTTCCTCATTAAAATCAGAAGCAGTAAAAAATATATATGTATATAAGGAGTCCTGGTGTGGTGCTGTGGGTTAATGCGCCAGACTGTAAAGCCGTTTGTACTGCAAGGTCGGAAGTTCAAGCTCACCAGCTACTCCTTGGAAACCCTATACAGGGTCGCTATAGGTCAGAATTGACTCGACAGCACTTACAACAACATACTTATATATACACTAAGAAAGGAGAAATTGAAGGAAAATACAAAATCCTATTTGAGTTTCAGCAACATGGTCCCCTAAGACCTTTTCCTGGGGCAGGAAAGAGCTGAGAACAGTTTCTCTAGTCGCAGCTCAGCCACTATGCACAATGTAATATCACAGAAATAGTAGATCTGCTAGAAAGTGGGGCAAAACTTACCTGTTCCAGCTGGGAGGAAATGAGGTGACTGGACACCTAGGGGTAGCATTGGCACCCCTGAAGACAAATCTTCCCTGAAGCCACTCGTTCCTCATTCCCTTCCTCCCTCCTGCCCCAGGAAGTTGGAGAATTCTCAACAGGAAGCAGGGCATTCACTGGGCTCCCAGGGGCCCCTCTAATTTCATGCTGCAGAACCAGCCTCCTCAGGGTTGAGCAGCTCTCTGGGGAGGGATAATTGCACCCCTGGAACCAGCTGGCTCTTTAACTCTTTAAGGCCCCAGTGATTAGCAGTGCTCTGAGGCAGTAATTAATTATCCCTGGGGAGCCAGAAGAGATCAGGCAGCCCACCAAAGGGGTGATATTTCTAGGGCTGTGTTCTCTCTCCCCATCTGAGATCTGAGCCATTATCTGAAAAATGCAGTGAGCTCCTGAGAGAACTGCACAGAGAGCTCTCTCCCAGGTACCTGCCAAATGATCTAGGGCTCCACATTCAGGTCCCCACAGCACAGGATACAGCGTGAACACACGCAGGCATCCCCAGACTGTCTAATTGAGAGTGTGTTCACACTAACAGGTTATTTTAAAAGACCAAACAAGTTGCCCTCGAATCAATTCCTACTCATGGAGACCCTATGTCTACAGATTAGAACTACACTACTTACAATTTTCAAGGCTGTGACCTTTTGGAAATATATTGCCAAGCCTTTCTTCCAAGGAACCTTTAGTTGGGTTTGAACCACTAACCTTTGGATTAATATTCGAGTGCTGAACCATTTGTGGGACTCCATTGTCTCTGGTAACAGTCACAATTTAGCATCCCAACTGTTTTGTACAACAAGCCAAGGTGGCAATAAAGAGTTAAAGACAAATATTAAATGCTCTCTCTCTGCACAATGCTGTGCTAGAAGTATGGCTTGAAACTAAACTGAACGCTCTCTCTAAGCTCAAAAGTACCATACAAATGGTAGCCATAGACTAGGAATCACTTTGGGTGGAGGGTTAACATTTATTCCACTTCTCTCCTACCATCACCCTCCAACCTTTCCACTCACCAGCGAGATACTGCAGGTCTGCTTTGCTAACCAAGCTGAGGGCCCAGAGAACACATTTGGCCTACAGTCAGGAAAGTGCTTTGTAAGGAAACGGCTGAGCTGGGGTCAGTGTCCTGATGAAGCATTCCCAGGGTCTCTACACGGGATGCCATTGTTCTGGGCTACACCTACATCACTTCAAGGGCACTGGCTTGCCTAGTGAGCCCTCCTCCGGTACCTAACAGGAATAGACCATATATTCTCAGGCTGGAGCTGAATTAAAAGGGGCTTTAATTGCACAATTGACAGACAACGTCCAGAGGTTCAAGTCGGATTCAGAAAAGGCCGTGGAACGAGGGATGTTATTGCTGATGTCTGATGGATCTTGGCTGAAAGCAGAGAATATCAGAAAGATGTTTACCTGTGCTTTGTTGACTATGCATAGGCTTTTGATTGTGTGGATCATGACAAACTATGGATAACATTGCGAAGTATGAGTATTCCGGAACACTTAATTGTGCTCCTGAGGAATTTGTACCTGGACCAAGAAGCAGTCGTTCGAACAGAACATTCATGGGAACACTGAATGTTTTAAAATTTAAAAAGGTGTGCAACAAGGTTGTATTTTTTTCACTATACTTATTCAACCTGTATGCTGAGCAAATAATCTGAGAAGCTGGGTTCTATGAAGAAAAACGTAGTGTCAGGATTTAAGAAAGACTCATTAACAACCTGAGATATGCAGGTGATACAACCTTGCTTG